GGCATCACGCTCACAGCAACCTCCAACTCCTGGGCTCAAGCGAGTCTCCTGCCTCAGCCTCCCAAGTAGCTGGGACCACAGGCGCCCATCACAACGCCTGGCCATTTTTTGGTTGCAGCCATCATTGTTGTTTGGCGGGCCCAGGCTGGGGATGTGAACCCTCCACCTTAGGTGTATGTGGCTGGTGCCTTAGCCGCTTGAGCCACAGGGGCCGAGCCACTTTCTCTACTATTGAGAAAAGCTGCTCTCCTCTTTACCGCTATTTTTTTTTTTTTTTTGAGACAGTGTCTCATTATGTCGCCCTCAGTAGAGTGCTGTGACTTCACAGTTCACAGCAACCTCAAACTCTTGGGCTTAACTGATGCTCTTGCTTCAGCCTCCCAAGTAGCTGGGACTACAGGCACCCCCCAAGGCCTGGCTATTTTTTGGTTGCAGTTGTTATTGTTGTTTAGCAGGCGCAGGCAGGGTTCAAACCTGCCTGCCTTGGTGTATGTGGCAGGTGCCCTAACCACTGAGCTATGGGCACTGAGCCATTCTCTTTCCCTCTAAATGTACCTACTTCACAAATTCAGCCTTTAGCCTAGTTCACACCTCCATCCAAATGGTCTCCTTGGAAGTCTTATCTTTTCCTGTTTCAAATCTTATAATCTTCTCTTTAGTCTAAAGTGTCTTTTTAGAGCTAGATCCAGACATACTTCCCTCCCCAATGCCTAAAAATTAAACAGATCCAGAATTAAATGTAGCAACTTCCCCACTCTGCACTAAGCTCTCTTTTTTACCGACTACTATTTTCCTATGAATGGTATCATCATTCAAATCTACGAAACCGGACTACTAAGTTTTCATTTTCCCCTTATTAAATTATCAACTATACCTCAATAATGAGATGCGATGCTCAAATGTCAAATCTTTCCATTTCTATTCCTACACTAATTAAAAATCCTCATTAAGTTATAACCACACTGTACACATACAACTGCATGACTTTTGTCCCTATCTCCAGTGTTTCTGGGCTCCAGATTGGTGTTTCCTGTTGATTGTTCTACCTTCAGTCCCTGGCAAGTTTGATATACAGTAGCTGTTCAATAAGTGCTTGCAGCATGAATACCATCATAGCATTTCTTTCACCCTTATAGATAATTGTGAACCTATATTCCCTCCTCTACTCCGTCCCACAGACCTTTATTCATTTTGCCTTTCTCTTCCCTATATGTTATCAGCCATTGACACAGACAAGATCTTTTATTCAGTTAATTATGGTAAATCTTTTAGATCTTGGTAACCGAGTAAGATTTAAATGGGATTATGTATGCACATATGAGAGCTGTTTAAAAGAGAAGAGAAAATCCATCCTCCTCCCCAAGTTGTGCAAAGCCCAAACATGTCATACAAAATTACCCTTTTGATTAACACCCCACCCTCATCCTCTTCAGGCTTCAACTGAAATGTCATTTCCTCAAAAGCCTTTTACCTACATGTATGTTCGTAAAATCTTCCATGACATATCTATATATGTGGTATTGTTTAATACCACCTCATCCCCCCAACCCCATATTTAGGATTTAGGAGGGCAGAACTATTTGTTTGTTCCTAGAGAAAGCAACATGAAAAGGATCTGGAAAAAAAGTTAGGGAGCAGTGATCACTGGGATACTATACCACATGGAGTGAAAGTGAAAAAGCTGGGCAAGGCCTGTGGCTCAGTGGGTAGGATGCTGGCCCCATATACTGAGGGTGGCGGGTTCGAACCCAGCCCTGGCCAAACTGCAACAAAAAATAGCTGGGCATTGTGGGGTGGGTACCTGTAATCCCAGCTACTCGGGAGACTGAGGCAAGGGAGGCCAGGAGTTGGAGGTTATTATGAGCTGTGACACCCTGGCACTCTACCAAGGACGATAAAGTGAGATTCTGTCTCTAAAAAAAAAAAGAAAAAGCTAGCCAAAAGGGAGACCACATTTTAGAAACACGGCCTACTAACTCACATTAAAGAAACACATGTGCTGATTATTTCACATTTCTACTTCTTTTTTTTTGTTTGTTTGTTTTGAGACAGAGCCTCAAGCTATCCCCCTGGGTAGAGTGCCATGGCATCACAGCTCACAGCAACTCACCTCCAACTCCTGGGCTCAAGCAAGTCTCCTGCCTCAGCCTCCCAAGTAGCTGGGACCACAGGCGCCCGCCACAACGCCCGGCCGTTTTCTTTTTAGTTGCAGCCATCATTGTTGTTTGGAGGGCCCAGGCTGGGGATTTGAACCCGCCACCTTAGGTGTATGTAGCTGGCACCCTAGCCGCTTGAGCCACAGGCGCCGAGCCACATTTCTACTTCTTAAGAAGAGAGGAGTGCTCACGTTGGCAGCACCTAAACTAAAACTGGAAAGATACAGAGAAGATCAGCATGGCCCAGCTCAAGGATGACACGAAAATTCATGAAGTGTTCCACATTTTTAGGACATTCTCCTTAGTAAAGTATCACAAGAATGGAAAAACAAGTATCCAATGCACTTAATACTACTATGAAACTAGTAGATGAATAACTACATGCCCACAGGAGAGAAAAACAACTGAAACCAAGCTGGGGGAGGGGAGAGAGGAGGGAGCTGAGGGGAGGAGGAGAGGGAACTATAAGCTCTCATCTAATGGACATAATGTAAGAAAACATGGCACACATACTGGGTGAGGGGGTCAACTGCAACTCCAACTTTACCTAACAAACACAAACATGTAACTTAATTGTTTACACCCTTATATTAATCTGAAATTAAAAAAAAGAAGAGGCTCGGTGCCTGTGGCTCAAGTGGCTAAGGCACCAGCCACATACACCTAAGGTGGCGGGTTCGAATCCCCAGCCCGGACCCGCCAAACAACAATGGGAGGCGGAGGCAGGAGACTTGCTTGAGCCAGGAGTTGGAGGTTGCTGTGAGCTGAGATGCCACGGCACTCTACCCAAGGGGACAGCTTGAGGCTCTGTCTTAAAAAAAAAGAACCCCACACTTCTCATAGGCCCTAAACCTGGTAAAGGAAACTCCCTGGAGAAAGGATTTTCTGGTAGAGGATCAACCTTTATAAAAAGGTCATTGCTGTTAAAACCTTAACCCAGGCTCAGCGCCTGTGGCTCAAGCGGCTAAGGCACCAGCCACATACACCTAAGGTGGTGGGTTCGAATCCCCAGCCCGGGCCTGCCAAACAACAATGATGGCTGCAACCAAAAAATGGCCAGGCATTGTGGCGGGCGCCTGTGGTCCCAGCTACTTGGGAGGCAGAGGCAGGAGACTCGCTTGAGCCCAGGATTTGGAGGTTGCTGTGAGCTGTGATGCCATGGCACTCTACCCAGGGGGACAGCTTGAGGCTCTGTCTCAAAAAAAAAAAACAAAAAAAAAACACCTTAACCCAAACTGAATTTTAGTAACAATTCCTATATGGCTTTCAGAGAGAAGGTATCTAAATTTCAACCTAACATTAATCCTATTTCCCTGATAGTGCAGTCTGGACTGCTTATATTATAAATCACCTAGACCTACAACTTCTTTCTTTTTTATTTATTTATTTATTTTTTTTTTGAGACAGGAGCCTCAAGCTGTCCCCCTGGGTAGAGTGCTGTGGCATTACAGCTCACAGCAACCTACAACTCCTGGGCTCAAGCAAGTCTCCTGCCTCCGCCTCCCAAGTAGCTGGGACCACAGGCGCCCGCCACAACGCCCGGCTATTTTTTGGTTGCAGCCATCATTGTTGTTTGGCGGGCCCAGGCTGGATTCAAACCTGCCACCTTGGGTGTACATGGCTGGCGCCTTAGCCACTTGAGCCACAGGCGCCGAGCCAAGACCTACAACTTCTAATCTAGCAGCTAGTTTGAAGTATTGTGGGGCTTCTAAATTAAAGCAGGCTTTATGTCTTTACTCAGTTCTTCACTCAGAATGCCTCCAAATCCACAGCAAATGCTCTGATGTCCAAGTCTATACTACATTGTTTGAGACATTTGTAGGGTAGAACAGGTAGGGAAGGAAAGGGGCACGAAGAGAGACACACAGTATGAGAAGGCTTGGATACTGCATAGCACATCCTCAAAACTATCTCAGTGACTACTTTTAAACTTCATTTCACTTGGGAAAGTACACATCCCTACAGATAACCAGTCCTCTAAGCCTAAGGTGTCAACAAAATTCTATACAAATGCCTTCTAGACTTGAGCAAATTTACCAGCACTCAAACATGTTGATGATGTTGAATTTTGTGTCAGATAGTTTCCAAAAAATGAAAGCAGTTCTCTTAGCATGTAGGAAGGCAATAAACTTTGAAATCAATGGCCCTATGGCATTCCATTTACTGTTAAATCTTAAGACAAACACATGAAACAATACCTAATTTCAGTTCAAACTTCATTTCCCTTTTATTAAAGCCCAAGTTACCATTATGGTTTGGTACTCAATAAAGGAAAACCTGTTTGAATAAGGTAATATGTTATCATCAGTATTTCCAGGTGACTGTTTACAATCAAGTAGTATTATCAATAAATCCTTAGGAAGCCCATCTGTAAGAGAAAACACAAAGAATTAGCTAGGAGAGAAGAAGAAAAAGGTAGAAATCTTATGAAAAATAACCTTTTTGTCCTTTTTACTCTTAATCCTGTCTGTAGTCAAATCACAGAGAACTAGCTTTGTATGTTTTTTTCACCACTTGTACCACTGGTACTCACTGAGGTTGTCTTCTTTCCCCAAAACAATAAAATTTGGTAAGGCGGGGCATAAAGGCTCACCCCTGTAATCCTAGCACTCTGGGAGGCTGAAGCAGGCGGATTGCCTGACCTCAGGAGTTCAAGGCCTGAGCCTGAGAAAGAGTGAGAGTCCATCTCCACTAAAAATAGGAAAACTAGCCATGTGTTGTGGCAGGCACCTGTAGTCCCAGCTACTTGGGAGCCTGAGGCAAGAAGATCATTTCAGCCCAGAGTTTGACGCTGCTGTGAGCTATAATGTCACAGCACTCTACCCAGGGCAGCAGAATAAGAGTCTGTCTTAAAAAAAGAAAAAAAAGCCAGGAGCAGTGACTCATGCTTATAATCCCAGCACTCTGGGAGGCCGAGGAGGGTGGATTGAGAGAGCACAGGTTTGAGACCAGCCTGAGCCAGAGCGAGACCTCATCTCTAAAAATAGCCAGGCATTGTGGCAGGCGCCTGTAGTCCCAGTTACATGGGAGGCTGAGGCAAGAGAATCACTTGAGCCCAAGAGTTTGAGGTTGCTGTGAGCTATGATGCCATGCACTCTACTGAGGGCGACAAAGTGAGAAGAGCTGTCTCCAAAAAAATAAAGAAAGAAAAACATTTGGTAGTTGCCCTTAGAAAATTTTTTTTTGAAAAATGTTGGTGGCCACTGGTGTGGCACCTACAGCTCGGTGGCTAGGGTGCCAGCCACATACAGCAGAGCTGGCGGGTTCAAATCCAGCCCAGGCCTGCCAAACAACAATGACAACTACAACCAAAAAATAGCCAGGCCTCATGGCAGGTGCCTGTAGTCCCAGATACTTGGGGGGCTGAGGCAAGAGAAGTGCCTAAGCCCAGGAGTTGGAGGTTGCTGTGAGCAGTACGATGGCAGGGTCTGACAAACAGCAATGAAAACTATAACCAAAAACAGCCGGCAAGGTGGCAGGCACCTATAGTCCCACCTACTCAGGAGGCTGAGGCAAGAGAATCGCTTAAGCCCAAGAGTTGGAGGTTGCTGTGAGCTGTGAAGTCACGGCACCCTGCCAAGGGCGACAAACTAAGACTCTTATCTCAAAAAAAAAAGAAAGAAAAGAGAAAAGTATATTATTGCAGCTAGAATATAACCTATATAACATGGCTCTTCTAGACTAATACGTGAGAAAATTAAGCCCAAGAGTTGAACCACAAATAAAAGCTTCAGAAATGTAAGTAGGCCCCATGTTATGGCTCAAATTGGGCCAACACTTTGGGAGGCTGAAGCAGGACTACTTGAGATCAGGACTTTGAGGCCAGTGTGGGCAACACAGCAAGAACCCATTTCTACAAAAAATATTTTAAAATTAGCCAGGCTTGGTGGTGCACTCCTATAGTCCTAGCTACTTGGGAGGATCCCTTAAGCCTAGCAGTTTGAGATTATAGTGAGCTATAATGGCCCACTGTGCTCCAGTCTGGGTGACAGGATGAGACCTGACAAAAATATAAATATGTAGGCTCGGCGCCTGTGGCTCAAGTAGCTAAGACGCCAGCCACATACACCTAAGGTGGCGGGTTCGAATCCAGCCCGGGCCTGCCAAAAACAACAATGATGGTTGCAACCAAAAAACAGCCGGGTGTTACGGCGGGCACCTGTGGTCCCAGCTATTTGGGAGGCAGAGGCAGGAAACTTGCTTGAGCCCAGGTGTTGGAGGTTGCTGTGAGCTGTGATGCCACGGCGCTCTGCCCAGGGTGACAGCTTGAGGCTCTGTCTCAAAAAAATATATATATAATATAAATATCTAAAATATATATATATACACTTGTTTTTTTTTGAGATAGAGTCTATGTCACCCTTAGTAGAGTGCTGTGGCATCACAGTCCACAGCAACCTCAAACTCTCGGGCTTAAGAGATTCCCTTGCCTCGGTGGCTTAGTGGCTTAGTGGCTTAGTGGGTAGGGTGCCAGCCCCATATACTGAGGGTGGTGGGTTCAAACCTGGCCCCGGCCAAATTGCAACAAAAAATAGCCAGGCCTTGTGGAGAGCGCTTGTAGTCCTAGCTACTCAGGAAGCTGAGGCAAGAGAGTAGCCTAAGCCAGAGTTGGAAGTTGCTGTGAGCTGTGACACCGCCATAACACTCTACCAAGGGCAATATAGTGAGATTCTATTTCTAAAAAAAGAAAAAGAGATTTCCCTGCCTCAGTCTCGCAAGTAGCTGGGACTACAGGCACCCACCATCATGCCCGGCTATTTTTTGTTGCAGTTGCCATTGTTGTTTAGTTTGCCCAGGCCAGGTTTGAACTTGACACCCTCAGTGTATGTGGCTGGCACTGTAACCACTGTGCTATGGGCACCAAGCCCAAAATATAGATTACCTCTGTAATCCTAACACTCTGGGAGACAAAGGCTTAAGATCAGGAGTTCAAGACCAACCTTCTGTCTCTACTAAAAACAGAAAAATCAGGCTCGGCGCCTATAGCTCAGCAGCTAGAGCGCCAGCCACATACAATAGAGCTGCCAGGTTTGAATCTAGCACAGGCCTGCCAAACAACAATGACAACTACAACCAAAAAATAGCTGGGCATTGTGGCAGGTGCCTGTAGTCCCAACTATTAGGGAGGTGGAGGCAAGAGAATCACTTAAGCCCAAGAGTTTGAGGTTGCTGTGAGTTGTGACACCATGGCACTCTAACCAGGGCAACAGCTTGAGATTGTCTAAATAAATAAATAAATATAAAAAAATAATAATAACAGAAAAATTAGCTGGGCATGGCAACACACTCCTGTAGTCCCAGCTACTCAGGAGGCTGAAGGAGGAGGATCACCTAGCCCAGCAGTTTTGAGGTTGCAGTGAGCTATGATGACACCACTACACTCTAACCAGGGCAACAAAGGGAGACTTTGTCTCAAAAAATTAAAAAACAGTAAATAATATCTGAAATCTAAGTGTGGGTACATAGACTCACTATATTGTCCTCTATGATATTTTTTATGCCTACAATATTTGATATAGATTTTTTACTATCTGTATTATAGGGAGCTTTTATTTGCCTTTACATCAGTAAGCAAATAATGATAACAACTAGAAATAATTTTAGCTCATACATTTATCATCATCAGTACCCTCTAAATATATTTATGCTCATGGCCATTACAAGAACATTATAAGGTCTTACTCTTCCTGAGAGCACTAAAATGTCACCCACTCTCCCAGGATTGTTCTTCTGTCTTGTTCAGTGGTATGTTGCTTACCCATGGGGTTTACACTTTGTCAAGGCCTAGTTCCTCTGGAGTGGAGATTCCCAATTCATTTAAAGTTGGTCTAAGTTCCTGGATGACATAGGGGTAGATTTCCTTATGAGGTCCTGCTTTGTCCTGATGGCAAAGAGAATATTCACATTTAACTCTCCAAAATGCTGTCTCTATTAACAAAATGAACTTGAAAATGCTTTTAATTACATATGCAGAGGCTAGTAGCATAGAATTAACACAGATCATCTACTTTTTTTTTTTTTTTTTTGAGACAGAGCCTCAAGCTGTCCCCCTGGGCAGAGTGCCGTGGCATTACAGCTCACAGCAACCCCCAACTCCTGGGCTCAAGCGAGTCTCTTGCCTCCACCTCCCAAGTAGCTGGGACCACAGGCGCCCGCCACAACGCCCGGCTATTTTTTGGTTGCAGCCGTCATTGTTGTTTGGCGGGTCCGGGCTGGGGATTCGAACCCGCCACCTTAGGTGTACGTGGCTGGCGCCTTAGCCGGTTGAGCTATAGGCGCCGAGCCAGATCATCTACTTTTAAGTTAACACATTTGTTCAATAGAGGGTAACTTATATAGGCATTGTTCAGATAGGTTTATAATAACTAAGACAATTATGCAAAAATCCAGAAAAAGCATTTCAAAGTCTTGAATTATTGGAAAGGAAGGTGGTGATGACAGAATTCTATGAAGACAATTAAACATGCCCAGCAGGCAACAGAAATAATTAAGTTAACACAGGAAAAATATATTCATTTGCCTCCAATTTGAGACCCTAACTGAATTAACTACCGGTGCTGAATGGATTGATAGCCTACAGAACCCTTAATTACCTTACCCATCACAGATAAAGTAATGTCACACTTTCTCCCTGACAGATCTTGAATTTCTTTCTCAGAGAGCACAATGTCTTTTCCTGGAGAGTTGCACTTAGGGAATATACACGTCCACAGCAGGAGAACTTTCACCACAACATACCTATATTTCACAAAGTTTCTCAGTAGCAAAAACTCAAATGAACTAAGAAAGTGCCAAGCTGCTATTCTTTTTCTTCAACAAATTCTAGGTCCCTTTTATTTATTCGCAACAGAGTCTTAGTCTGTAACCCTGGCTAGAGTGCCCAGTGGTCAGCCTAGCTCACAGCAACTTCAGCAATCCTCCTACCACAGCTAATTTTTCTGTTTTTCTGAAGAGACAGGGTCTTGCTCTTGCTCAGTCTGGTCTCAAACTCCTGAGCTCAAACGATCCGTCCACCTTAGCCTATAATCTACTCTGTAATTCAGAGTGCTAAGATTATAGGCGTGGGCTACCATGCCAGCTTTAACTATGTTTTTAAAATTTTATTTATTTATTAATTTATTTATTTTTCTTTTGGAGACAGAGTCTCAATATGTCACCCTTGCTAGAGTTCCATGCCGTCACATCTCACAGCAACTGTAAACTCTTGGGCTTAAGCAATTCTCTTGCTTCAGCCTCCTGAGTAGCTGGGACTACAGGCGCCTTCCAAAACGCCTGGCTATTTTTTGTTGCAGTTGTCATTGTTATTTAGCTGGTCTGGGCTGGGTTCGAACCCGCCAGTGTAGGGGGCTGGCACGGTAACCACTGTGCTACGAGCACCAAGCCTATTTTTTCTTTTTTTTTTTGGGAGACAGAGTCTATGTTGCCCTAGGTAGAGTACCGTGGAATACCTCACAGCAACCTCAAACTCTTCAGCTTAAATGATTCTCTTGCCTCAGCCTCCCAAGTAGCTGGGACTTTTTTTTTTTTTTTT